TCGCTGGAAAACATATGGCTGATATTCTCTAGGTTTCGTCACCTTTGCAGAGGTACAATTTACTTTTCAACTCTTTCTCCGACTCCATGCGATTCTCCCCTTTCACATCCCCAGGTAACGCCGCTATCGCCGTTGCGTCCAAGTTAGCATCGACAAAAAATCATTTGGTCTATATCATACTCAGCAATCATTCCCCAGTGGAACTTTATTATCCACTCTTCCCAGTATGTGGGTAGCTCCGACTCTCGCGCGTCCCAAAATGATATTATGCTCAGTGGGTTCTTTCCCCTACCTTTCTTTCTGTTGGCTGCGTTATGATGTGGGTGTAAGAACACGAAGTTAAATATGTTTCAATTAATAGGCAACTGCATCGTGAAAATACGTAAAAATCTGCACTCTCCTGTTTCAATGTGCGCCAGTCAATTTGGCGATCACAAAGTCAAAGCAGCAGGTCACCAGACAGAACCAAAAACTTTTTTTATATAACTAAGACTTGTCCCTATATCAATGCAGAGGAGCTTCCCACTATCCTTTGAACCTAAAACATCTCCTTGAACCTAAAATATTAAATTTGGTAATTTAGTTTCTGAGAAAAGTCAAAAAGGTTTAACAACGGTAAAAAAAATCAAAAATTTGACTAGTTCCAGGGCCATAACCTTTTGTACAAAAAAATTGGTTGTAGCTACTTATGCAGAGGGGCGTTTCAAAACGTATCAATTCATTGAACTCAGTTTTTGAGAAAAACTGAAACTTATACAAAAAGTGAAAAAAAAATCCAAAACGAAAAGATGAAATTTCAGCAAACCGATTGGTGAACTAACAACGAACTTGAAAAAAAGAAGGGGAGTACTAAGATTGTGTTATCTTGATACAGCCAAAACTATGTCTTAGGGCCGATGAAAAATAGGCCAAAATAAGTTTGGCCGATGAATTTTTTTCAGCGAAAGAAAAAAATAAAGAAGGAAATACGAAGTCAAGGTAAGTAAAATTAAAAAATGTAGGCGTAAATCAAACACTAGAAGCAACCTTGACGGAAAATGCACACAGAAAAAAATCAAGATGTGACAAATAAGCTGATAACCGATAAGCAGACTAATGATTGGCTGACTTTTTTTTGAAACAGAATATTTCCCGTTTGAAAACAAAATAGGTCCGGGTCAGATTCGAACCCAGGATTTTGCTGTTATTCGGTGCTAGGTATATTCGGTACTTCCAGGTTAAGTTTGCCGGGAACGCTAAGAAATTTAAACACGTTTTGAAACAAGGTAGAGATGAGTCCAGATGTCCAGATGAGTCCTGTGGAAAAATTTGTTTACGGGAGAAAAAAGTCTAGTACCCGGTTGCAATACCCTTGCTTATCGCAAGGGTAAAGAAAAGAAAAGCTAGTTTGAACCTCCCCATTTTATGTCTTATCCCTGACAGACATAACCGTTTCTGATCGAAAAAATATTACAGTTTATGACCAAGAAAGACAGAAAAGTTTCAGACCTGGTTATGCCGATAAAAACAAACGACATTGGGACGTTCCTTATTTTAACCTTGACAATTACGGCAAGGATCTTCATGTAAAAGACGTTCTTTGGTTCTTGGATAACAAAGTGGTAGTGTCTGCAGCAATGAATGGAGCGTTTCAATCGAACCTTCACAAAACTCATCCACGGCAGTTTAGCAATAACTTTATGAAGGAGTATATCTGGTGGACACACAATCGCAAAGTACTTACTATCGCATGGCAAATTTGGGAACAAAATATCGATTTAGATAACGGGCTTATCTTCAGAGAATTGGATTTGATTTTTAACGGAAACTTCTTGTGGGCCTTACTCGCAAACTAGTAAAAACGTTAACACTTACTCGAACATCTATAATATATCGGACAAAAGGTATCCCTCCAAACAAGACTAGCGTGAAACCACCGCCGGTCCATTTCTCAAAGACAGGCAAAGTTGACGCAGTCCATTTCTCAAAGTTGACTAATCCCTCTCTGTTTCCGTCAGGTTCTAATACTTCATTAGGTTTGGAATCTAGGGACGTTATCATTCGCGATTACCTTGATAACGTGACAAAAAAAACACCATGCTTATTTGGAACATCTTGTTCCAGAGTTTAATAATGATTTGTTTTTTAAAGACCACGGTTCAAATCAAAAGCCGAACATCCTAATCTTGGACAGATCACCGGTCTAGATGTTCGGACAAAATCACTCACAAAGGAACACACGGGATCATCGTACGACCCGAGCTTTGTCAGAAACCCAACAGAGGAAGACAACACAACTCCGAAGACGCCAACTTAAAAGAGCGTCTAGACCAAAGAGAAACGTGGGACCTCCGAACTTTTTCGGCAAAAGACGCTTCGTAGATAAAGTCTCCAAAAATGTGTCCCAGGCCCGACGATCGTGAAGCTGGTTTGAGAGCACTGCAGACGACCTTTCGTTTCCGAACAATCAGAACTGGTCATTTTTGGACTTGTGAACCCCCCCTATCCCCCACAAGAATCGCCCGTTGCTGTATCAAACTTCTCATGCACTGTTCGTTTCGATTGCAGTATTCAATGCAGAAGTTACCCAAAAAGCCTTTCCGTTTTCTTGAAATGCAGGAGTACATTTAAGTAAGGATCCATAATAATTTATTTTTCACGTAAATATCAGTTGAAAAAAAAGATACAAACAAGAAGTGATAAATGAGTAAACTATTACACCATTGTTCATAATCCATTCTAAATACCTGTTTCAAAAACAAAAAAAGTCAGAGTAAATTTCTTGACCTTGAGACAACCTTTTGACAACAAACACGATGACTAAGGAGCGTCTCTTCACAGTGCCTGATTTTACGTTAAGCCATTTCTACAAGCCATAGTTCCTTTCCACAACAAAGAGGAGAGATTCGCGCCACTTTCTAGAATTTTCCCACCAGATGTGTGTCAAAAAATGAACCTTAACATTCTGTGAAATAATTTTTTTTCAGTGAAATAAAATTTGTAGAGGGTTGGGAGGGCATGAAGTTGATCTTCAACAAAGGAAAATAAACAATAAATAAGGTGAAACAATCAAAATTCAGAATTTTGACTGATGATTGATTGGTTGAATGGCGTCAAAGATTGATTAACTGGTCAGTCAATCATCCGATAAACAAAGAATAGGTTTGAAAGCAGAAATCGCGAACAAATTGAAGAAAATGCGAGCATTTTACATGAAAATTTTTGAAGCAAATCTAAGTATAGTTGAAAAAGTTCAGCCGCTCGAACCTGACCACTCCTTTGAGTGATAGACAATCCTTAAAATGTGATCCTTAAAACCCTACACCAATCTCGCTCCCTATCCAATTTTATATGGATGAGAAGATTTTTATAAGCAAAACTGTATCTTGAGCGGCTCACAGACAATTCGGTCACAGACAATTCAACCACATCGAAATTCAGACAATTCAGCTAGAAATATACGGACAATCCAGCCGGAGACAATGCAGCCAGTTATACAAAACACTAGATTCGAAAGAAAAAAACCGGAAGTTATTTCTCGGTTTAAGGCCGCCGATGGGCGCGCTATGTGCGCGTCGCCGCTTTGCGACAATAATCGGCTCTAAATTTTGCATAGAGTCCTACCTTTTGTTGGCAAGCTCGCACAACGTTGCTCGCATTTAAGAAAAGTGAAAAAAAAATCGATTATAATAGATTTTCGTGGTCTAAAATGTTGTAAATATAATCGATTCCCATGTTACGTTCAGACAACAAAATTGGACTAAAAATAGATTTAAATATATTTTTCTCGTCAAAACAAAATGCGTTATGATTCATTTTGAATCCATTTCAATGGATTTTATAATAAGTAGGAAATCACATTAAAATGGATTTTTTTCCGCTTTAATTTTTGTTTTGCGCGTCGTGCAAAATTTTGCAAGAATTTCTGCATTTATCAAATGAGTTATGCGGAAACTTTGCAAAGCTAGAGGGGGCAATTTTGAGTAATGTAAAAAAGTTACCTTGAGTTATTTGAGTTACCTAACAAAATTATCAAAGTTAGGTAGAAAAAAATTAAATTGAACAAAAGGCAAAAAGTAACCAACGTAACCAACTTTTGTTTAAAACGTAGAAAAGACTTTATGTTCGTTGAAATTCGCGTCTCAGTAAAGTGGAAAAAAAATCAAATATAGTTTAGTTTCATAATCAGTGTCCACAAAAGTGGAAAAAATCGATTATAATGGATGAAAAAAGGACTTTGTTGCCTCCACAAATAGTAGTATTATATCCATTTTTAATTTTTAAGATTATCCATTTTTAATTGATTATAATCGATTTGTTTTCACTTTCGTGGACACTGACAAGGAAACTCATTTATAATCGATTTTTGTTCATGGAACTCCAATGCGGGTGGCGCGACTGCGGTGGTCACTTTTATTGGAATTTCCCACGTTTCGCCCCCCCCCACACATTTCGCCCCTCTTAAATCTAGTGGCACATTTCGTCTTTAGACATTTACCCCCAGATAATTTCACACATTTCGTCCCACGTTTCGCCCCTAAATTATTACACAGTTAATTAACACCGCTTTCTTAATGTACATTTTTGGGGCGAAATGTGCCAGTGATTTATGAGGGGCAAAATGTGTGAGGAGCGAAATGTGTGAGGGGCGAAATTTGCCACTAGATTTAAGAGGGGCGAAACGTGTGAGGGGCGAAATGTGTGAATACCGTATTATTGGCTGAATTGTCTCCGGCTGAGTTATCTGCATACTTTTGGCTGAATTGTCTGAATTTTAAATCGCCTGAATTGTCTTTGGCCGAATTGTCTGGCGCGATCTTGAGCATGTAGAAGACCCTTTTGTGAAAATGTCCGCAAAATTTATTGAGTATTTCGAAGAAAGAGAAAAAAAATTAGCTTCTTTTCACCCCCAGCCAATCAATACTACCAAACTATTGATGATATGAGTCATACTAGAATATCTGCTCATTTACTGATGGTAAAATTTCCTAGCCCAGCATGCATTGCAACTTTTAACTTACCTAGACACCAGCATTGCGCTTTGAAATTATGGGAACCGAAGAGTTAATATGCCGAGGAGCTATAAATCATAAGAATAACAAATCTGGATCGACTGGAGGTTTAAATCAATTGGCAGCTAGCTACTCCGAGGTTTTTTTAGAGATGCAGCCCAACTTGGTGTGAAACCAATGATAATATCGGAATGAATAAGTCCAATCTGACTTCACGTTGAAATTTGCTTATAACATATAGATAATTCAAATCACAATGAAACTACTAGCATTTGAGCATACATAGTCAAACGTCCAAATATTTGGTTTGCGACTTATTTTATTTTGAGGCTATCCAAGCTAGGGACATTTCACAGATTAGAAGATGCTTGGTTTCAGTTGGTCAGAGTAAGCAAGTTCGACTTATTATTCACGCACCTGGTTTATAAAGGAGATTAAGATGTTTTGTTATAGCAACTTATGACTGCTACTAACAAGCTCTCATTTGAAAATTGCTGCTAATCTATGATTCTTTTAAAATGTCGCCCGTTACAAAATCTGGTATACGCTGCTCAGTGTTAGCTTTCTTTGGATAAATTCGGCGCACGAATTAGTGTTTAATCATTAAAAGGTCAATAAAAAGAAAAAGCGTACCAAGAACCTTTTCAGCTCAACTTTATCGTAAGAGAAAAATCACAAGTCTATTTCTTTATCTCACAATTATTGCATCGAAGGTTCCGAGCTCCTCTGCCAAAGTTTCTTAAGCCTTAACCCCAAAGTTTTAGCTATTTTTCCGTTTTTTATTGTAATAACCTGTTGTTAGAATACATTCAAGCTTGATCTGAAAAATAGTAGAAAAATATATTATAATCAAGAGGCCATAAATACGATACCGCAATTCACCTTTTGTAATGATGTTTACATGGTCAGCCTAAACTGACGTGCAGAAAATGGCAAATAGCATATCCAAGCTCAAACCTGCTTTTGAACCACTGTAAATGGCCGAAACAAGTAACTCAATTCGATTTAAAAAAAAACTAGCTGAATAAATTTCAAATCAAAATCATGGATTCAGACAGCATTTTGAAAATGTGAATTAGTATTTTAAAATATGAAATCCTGAACAAAATATTATTTCACAACCGTCCTTCTAGATATGGACATTTTTTGCAATCTGTCCCCTCAAACTTCCTCAACCGTGCGCCTACGATCTCTGTGGTTTGTTTAAAATAAGTCTATAGACGCCACTATCAACTAATTAGGCAACCTGTTGCGTTTGAACTAAGTGAACCATGAAAATGCGTTGAATATGAATTCTAAAAAAATGTTGCGTTTTTTATCGGGAATACAATAATGAAATTCGAAGATGTGTATGAAAGCTCCGCCAAATTACAGTGAGAACTGAATATAACAGGCCAGGTACCTCTCATAATGAAAAATTCAATCCGTAGCTATCCTTAGGGTCATTTTGGGCTTTTGGGCTCTTTTAAATTATACCCCCCCCCCCTAAATGATGAAATTCGAAAATATATAAAATAAAAAATTAGCTACAAAGATGGATAGATTATATTACATAACACAAGGATGATATCCACAGCCACCAGCGGATTTGGGGGGGGGGGGGGGTGTTCACCTCCAAGCCCTCAGGGATTCGACGACCCCCTGACGACCCAAAGGGTCCCCCTTTTGTACTACTTTGAGATTTGAGATATCCATTTTTGGCTGACTGACCCTGAACTTTTTCTTAAGGTGCCTTTGGTGCCAAAATATAGCAACTTTGATGGGGAGCCTAAAAATTTTCCAAAAAGTGCCTAAAAATAACTTTTTGGCCTCTTTTTTCAAAATCTTGCCTGCGGCGCAGACCAATTTGTCATAGTGGGGTCTGTATAGTTATTTGAGAGAGCTCAGAAAATCAATTTGGTCGACCTAAAAAAAAGTCGACCAAATTTTCGAAACTTTTTTTGAAAGATCCCCCCTCAAGAATATCTTAGATCTGCCCTTGTCCAGGAGCCTTGAATTCACCAGAAAAATAGAAAAATGGGAATTAAACTGCATTCGTACTAAAATTTGAGAAAACTAGATAAAGAAAACGGCAAAACTATTTGAGGCTAAATTAAATATGTAACGAAATTTGAATTTGGAATTTTCATCATTTAGGGAGGTACAACAGAGAGTTCTCCCCCCCTCTTTGTTACTATTTAATGACATCCACTTTTCGTCATACCTAAATTTTTCATTTTTGTCAAACCCAGAGTTGGAACTGGGCCCGGGCTTTTTACAAGCCGGGCTGGGCTTGAAATTTTTGTTTTCAAAACGGGCCGGGTGGGGCCAGGCCTGGACCTCAAAATCAGGCCCGGTTCCAACTCTGGTCAAACCTTAAAGCTCCCTTAAGACCAGTAGCGTGCCGAGGGGCGTGCCCCTTCTTTTAACTTGCGCTGAAAACCAGTGGCGTGCACCCCCTTCAATTCTGGTTGCCACATTTTTCCGAAGGATTACCCTTTGGTATAATTTTACGACATCCCACTTTGCGGCTCAAAACTGAGTTTTTACTGAAAAAAAACCGCGCGCTAAAAAAAACGCGATTTTTGGTCACAATTTTCATTTTTGCCGTTCAATTTTACGGCGTAAAGTTTTCGGTGCTAAAAGTCTCTCGGTTTTTCCTTAGGTCAAGCAAACCGATTATCCGAGTTATTTTTTAACCCCTAGCATTGGGCAGGGATGGATCTAGAAATTTTTCATGGGGGCAGACTTTTTTTAAGTCGATCAAATTGATTTTCCAAGCTTTTCCAGAACACTATAAAGACTCTATTTTGACAAGATGTTCTGCGCCGCAGGTAATTAAAAAAGAATAGTTCAAATATCCGTTTTTGGATAAATTTTTGAAAACTTTGACCAAAAAATTAAGTTTTTTCGGCGAGCGCTCCCACTTCAATAATAGTTATATATTGGCACCGAAGGCGCTTTTAGAATTTTTAAAGGTTGGTCGGCCGTAAATGGATTTCACAAACTACTCCTGAAGAGGAGACCCTTTGGTTGATGCTTGATGAGGAGGTCGAATCCTTTAGGAAGGGGGGTTCGTAGGTAAATTATTTTAAAAATAGGTGAAAGTTGCCGTTTTTGGATATTTTTTTTGGAAAATTTTGACCAAAAAATACGTTTTTTTTCGGCGCGCGCTCCCCCCTCCCCTGAAAATTATTATATATTGGTTTCGAAGCCGCATTTAGAAACTTTAAAACTTAGTCGGCCGAAATTGGATTTCACAAAATACTACCAAAGGGGAGACCCTTTGGTTGAGGAGGAGGTCGATTCCCTGATGAGGGGGAATTTCAATTCTGATTATGAGAACTCGCTACTTGCATGTTTCAGTAGTTTTGGTAAGTGTAATAGCATTTGTAAAAACATAATTCGATCTGCTTCTGATACTAATTTTATAAAATCATAGCTGGCTTAAATCAAAATTTATTGACGTGGAACGGGGATAGGAGGAAGAAAACAGAAAATAAAGACGTTTTGACTTTTTTTATCAAAGATCATAAACGGAAAATTTCAACGATTGAGTTTCACTCCTAACTGAGTCTTGACAATATTTGAAAGCTATAGTGGTTTACGCAAAAATAGCTTTAATGGAAATCATAATAAAATGCCAGTGAAGCTTGTTAGCTAAAACGGAAGCACTTTTTTCCTACTTTTTGTTTTACAATCTCATTTTGGATCTCGTCTGCATCCTTAAAACCTCGATGAGCCGAAATAAGAAAACGCATTCATTTCAAAAATTTTGCATTGCGTTTGAAAGCTCAAAACTGGAGGATAGTAAATCAAACTTGAGTCTTTTGTTAAAAGAAAAACATTGGAAAATTGAAATCCAGCAGAATCACATGCCTAAAATATTTATATCAGAATATTCAGGTTAAATTATGTGGTGAAAACAAGTCATCAATTCTGTCTAGAATCAGGCCCGATAAATTGCTTAGAATTGCAGGCCTGTGTTTCTTGCCTCTGCGACAATTTCTAAAGAGCTTTTGTCCACGTGGTAAAGGACCAACAGTTGTTCGACTCTTATAGAGCAGTCATCTGGACTGAGTAACGTTGCTTTACCCTCAAGCAACAACCATGGTGGATCCAACGACCTCAATCCAACGACCTTTCGACTGAGAGTAGAGGCTTAGCTTTTTTCTCAAATCTCCAATACGAAACATTTTCCCAAATCTTCAATACTCGAATGAATTTTGACTTAAGGACAAACAGTAAACCTGACAAAACCTAACCATGAATTTTTCAAAAAATTTGTAAAGTTTTTTTTTAGAAATATTATATGTTTTTTTTTCACGACAATTTTGCAAGCCGACTAATTACGAGAAAAAAGGCCTGTGATTTATTTGAGTGAATAAATAACATTTAATGGCAGTACAGTTTCAACCAGCAATAGCAAGTTTTCTATAACGCTTGATAATTGTTTCGAATGATTTTTTTCAATGTTTCTATTCTTCGGGTCTCTTCTCTGATCACTAGTTTAACAGGGCAACGGAGTAGTTACCTTATTTTTGAAATATCAGTCTGGGACTTTTAACACAAAAATTACAATCTGTGTTGATTTTGCTTTTTTTACTGGCCTTCGGCCATCAACCTGGGCCAAACGAAGTGAATGTTTTCGACTGGCTATCATTGTGAAAAGGAACTTGGATTTTGATGACCTAAACAGACCAGAGATATCCAGAATCAAGTCGGATTCAAGTCCGTGTTTTCAAACAAGCCAGTGGTGTAGAGCAGGAGTTGAATAGAGTTAGTGGAGAAACAAGAAACGCAATGACGGCGTACGAATAAGCAGCGGAAAAATATCTACGGCGAGAACAAGAACATCAATGCAATGAGACGAGCAGACGTTGACAAAAAGTTAAGCTTGATTCTGCATCTCGCGCTAGGGAACGAAGGCGAACGGAATTTCATGCAGAACTTTTAACACTTTCTTTTAAAAAATTGGAACTTGCTGAAAACGAACTTTAATGAACTTCACTGCACTAAATTTGAAAGACTCAAAGTTCGAAAAGATTTAGCGAGTCCCATTTGATTCAGCAAGTACGTGCAAAGTCAGAGAAATACATGGTGCAAAATGGATAAGAGGGGTTTTTATTTTCATCTTCGCGAATTAGCCCAACGGAAGCAGCAACTCAAAATTTACTCGTTTTTACTAGCTTTTAAGATATATGTTTTATTTAAAAAACCTAGTCTACAAATCGAAAGAAGAACTTGTGTGAAAAGTAAAATAGTTTTAATAATGGCATTTGAATGTATGCCTAGCAGAAAATTTTTTTGAATAGTAATTATGGAGGACATTTTGTTGAATTTCACAAATCGAAAGAAAAACGCTCAGCTGTAGATTTTGTATTCGAACCTGTACAAAATGATAAGGTACTTTTGTCAAACTCAAAACATTGTGGAACAAGGGCAACCTTTTTAGCGGCGTTGATAAACCTATGAAGCAAGAACGGAGAAAAAGACAAAGGTGAATATTCAGTCCTTACCGTCAGAACAATGTTAGATCAGAGTGGTCTGGAATTCAAGAATCTAAAGACCATTGGTTTGGGATGGGACATGATGTTGAACATGAAATTTCCAAACGGCGAGATAAGCGAAGAGACTCTTATTTTCACTACGGATGTACATGATGTTGAACATCAAATTTCCAAACGCAAAAAAAGTGATCGAAACGCAGTCAAACGGCGGGATAAGCGAAGAGACTCTTATTTTCACTACGGGTGTACATGATGTTGAACATCAAATTTCCAAACGCAAAAAAAGTGATCGAAACGCAGTCAAACGGCGGGATAAGCGAAGAGACTCTTATTTTCATTACGGGTGTACATGATGTTGAACATGAAATTTCCAAACGCAAAAAA